AGCCCCAAAACACAAAACCCAAGAGATTAAAATACGTGAAAACCATAATATCATTCTCTCTCTCTTTATCATGATGTACTGAGATGATAGTTGAAATGATTGATGATGATTATTTTATTATTTTTGTTTTTTATTATTTTTATTGTTTGTATTGGGGGATTGTTAAAGTTACGGGTTAATTATTAATATTACGAGTTAATTATTAATATTACGGGTCAATTATTAAGGTTATGAATCTTCTCTTGTAAAGGTTATGCATTGTTTGTTAAGGTTACGGGTTGGTTGTTAAGGTTACGGGTTTGTTGTTAAGGTTATGGGTTTGTTGTGTAGGTTACGGATTTGTTGTTAAAGTTACGGGTTTAATTGTTAAGGTTACGGGTTTAATTGTTAATGTTACGTGTTTAATTTTTAAGGTTACGAGTTTAATTATTATGGTTACGGTTTAATTGTTTAGGTTACGGGTTTAACTGTTTTGGTTACGGGTTTAATTGTTAAGGTTACGGGTTTAATTGTTAAGGTTATGGGTTTAATTGTTACGGTTACAGGTTTAATTGTTAAGGTTACAGTTTTAATTATTAAGGTTACGGGTTTAATTATTAAGGTTACGGTTTAATTGTTAAGGTTACGGGTTTAATTGTTAAGGTTACTGGTTTAATTGTTAAGGTTACGGGTTTAATTGTTAAGGTTACGAGAGAGAGAAGGGATCCATAACCTTAACAATTGACTCGTAACCTTAATAATTAAACCCGTAACCATAATAATTAAACTCGTAACCTTAACAATTGACCCGTAGCCTTAACAATTAAACTCGTAACCTTAACAATTGACCCATAACCTTAACAATCAAACACGTAACCTTAATATTTAAATTTGTAACCTTAACAATTGACCCGCAACCTTAACAATTAAACCGTAATCTTAACAATTAAACCGTAACCTTAATAATTAAACCGGTAACCTTAACAATTAAACTCGTAACCTTAACAATTGACATGTAACCTTAATAATTAAATTTGTAACCTTAACAATTGACCCGCAACCTTAACAATTAAACCGTAACATTAACAATTAAACCGTAACCTTAATAATTAAACCGTAACCTTAACAATTAAACCCGTAACCTTAACAATTAAACCGTAACCTTAACAATTAAACCGTAACCTTAACAATTAAACATATAACCTTAACAATTAAACACGTAACCGTAACAATTAAACCCGTAACCGTAATAATTAAACCCGTAATCTTAACAATTAAACCCATAACCTTAACAATTAAACCGTAACCTTAAATTAAACCGTAATCGTAATAATTAAACCCGTAACCTTAACAATTAAGTACATAACCTTAACAATTAAACCCGTAACCTTAACAATTAAACCCGTAACCTTAACAACAAATCCGTAACCTACACAACAAACCCATAACCTTAACAAGAAACCCGTAACCTTAACAACCAACCATTATCCTTAACAACGAATATTCTAAAAATACGAAAAGAATAAAAAATAAAAATAATAAAATAATAATCCTCTTTAATCATTTCAATATCATCAAAGAAACATCATGATAGAGAGAGAGAGAGAGAGAGAGAGAGAGAGAGAGAGAGAGGATTCACAACCTTAACAATTGACCCGTAATATTAACAATTAACTCGTAACCTTAATAATTAACCCGTAACTTTAACAATCTCCCAATACAAATAACGAAAATAAAATAATCCTCATCAATCATTTCAACTATCATCTTAGTACATCATGATAAAGAGAGAGAGAAAATAAAATTAATAAAATAATCCTCATTATATTTTAATAAAAAAAAGAAAGAGAGAGAGAATGGTATTATGATCTTCACATATTTTTGGGTTTTGTGTTTTGTGTTTTGGGGCTCAGAGAACAGAATCTTTATTTTTTGGGGTAAAACACCCATTAACAAAGTTTTGGGGATGGGAAGCACGTTTCCTTGGCTTTTGGGGACCGGAAGCATTTTTCCCTAGATAGAAATTAGGGATATTTCAGTATGACAGTATGATAGAGTTTGAACAATATTCATGATAGCAAATAGAGATGAGATTTTCGATAAAAAGTAAATTTTTAAAAAAAATATATTTTTATCTAGAAAAATAAGAAGAAAAATGGAATGACTACATCAGCAGTCTTTTTTCCTTTTGCATTTAAAAAGTAAAAAAAAAATATCCAAGCTCTCAAAACCATCATTTTGTCCTTTCTTAAGTCTACTATCATGGATACAAACCCTATCAAAACGTCGTGTCTTAAAAAGTTGATCGTTTGCAGTGCGAGGAAACTTTCTAAAATACCCTTATTCTCACCATTAATATCTCCAGCGGAGAGTTTGATTGGTTAATTTAGTCAAGTACAATAGAGACAATTAAAATATTAATTGTAAAACACAAGAATATTGTAACAAAGGCGAGATACTATAGCAATTTAAAAAATTCAAAAAAAACTGGAGCAGTTAAACTGGGATTAATATAGCAGGGAAAAAAATATCGTGCTTTGCACGATGTTCACATTAGTTTGGTTATATTTTAAAATATTAATCAATTTAATGAAATATGAAAAACATATTTCTTACATATTTTCTAACGGTACCTGTACGATGACCTTAGGTTCAAGCGTGAATTGGAGGGTAAATAGTCAAATTGAAACATAATGGTGTTCGCTTCTAGATCAGAATATGAATGATGATGAATCATAAAGCACGTGGTAAGTATGAGACCCTCTAGTTAACTTCATACCAACAAAAAGTATGGTAATTGGTAGACTAATTGCCCGAGATACATCAATCAGTTGATTAAAAAAAGAAAGCTGAAACAAGTCCGCTACGTCAAGCAACAAGTTTAGTTGACTCCAATATAACGGTAAAAACAAATTTCCAGGGTCCTCCATATCTTTCATATTTTACCATCACTCCCCAACCTTTTAAGTATTTTCAATTACGCCCTTAAATTTAATATTTCAATATTAGTCCCCCAAATATTTTAAATATTACGAAATTATTCTTTCTAGTTAGCAGCTTGTTGAAATTTGAGGATTTATATCAGTGGCGGATCTACAACATTTTTTGTGGTGGTTCAAAATATACATTAAATTTTTTTCTCAAATAATAGCAGGTGGGAAAAAAAATGAAGGAATGGTTATTAAAGAGAAAAACAATCATTTTTAAACAATGATTTGACTTATATATATAAGAAACAAAAATATTTATAGAAGGCCTTAAAGAGGTAGACAGAACAAAGGGATAAAATGAAAGGAAAAGAAGAAGAAGAAGAAGAAGAAGAAGAATAGAGGGGAGGTAAAAGGAAAGAAGCCTAAAAGAGAAATTTTCGAAGGCTGGATGGTTTGAACTCCAGACCTCTTACAAAATGTTACCAACTGCAATACCACTAGGCTATAGAGAATTTTTGTATGAGGTGGTTCAAGTGAACCACTTTGAACAAGGGTGGGTCCGCCACTGATTTATATTATAGTGCTTTAACCACCTAAGGACGATTTTCAAAATATAAAGATTTGGGGGACTAATTCAAACCATTTAACGGTGTGGGGGCTGAACTTTAAAGCATGAAGTTTTTGGATACTAATAATGCGAAATAACCCAATTTATATTATCCCAAATCCCCTACCAAGATTTAGAGGATGTCGAGGGGCATGAAGTTAAAGTCCCAATTTTCTATTGTCTTTTCTTAAAAAATTGAAAGTCCCAATTTTTAAAGAAAAGTTCTGGCTCTAAAAGTCAATGATTAGACAAATGATAAATTTTCAAAACAGTTTTATTTATAAAAATATTCCCAAAAAACGACTCGTTTCAACAATATTCGTCAAAACCGATCTAGTTTCAGCCGTCGGGCTGAAGCTAGATCGGTTTTGATAAAAAAAATATGAAACTTCGCGTGACTTAAAATCCCGTAAAGTTTAGTAGCCATTTAACAAAACTGCTAAACTTCACAGGACTCAAGTCCCGTGAAGATTCATAGTTCAAAACAACTTCAGAGCTGAAATGAATTTCATGGAACTTGAAGTCCCGTAAAGTTTAGCAGCTTAATTAAACGTCTGTTAAACTTCACGGGACTTCAAGTCCGGTGAAGTTTGGGAAATTCTTTCGTCAAAACCGACCCAGTTTCAGCCTGATGGCTGAAACTATGTCGGTTTTGATAATATTGTTAAAACATGTCGCTTTTTAGAAATATTTTTGAAAAAGGGGTTTTGAAAATTTGTCCAAAATTGAAAGTCTTTTACCGATTTTCTGTAGTCCACACCAAACAGAACTTTTCTTTAAAAATATTTTAAGAAACACACACCCACATATAAAAAACGGAAGTCAAACTCTCTTGCCGGCGGCCGTAATAAATTTTCCATTCAAAGCATTAAAAACATCCGATAGAAAAAGACCATAAAAAATTCTTCACATCTCCATCCCCTCATCCTCTCCCGTCGTCACCCTCTCCCCCATTCCCATAATACCCACCATGCCTCCATTGTCCCCCTCCTCCACCCAAACCCTTTCCCAAAATGCCCCTCCTCCAGCCCGGACTCCTTCCCAAAGCACCCCTCCTCCTTCTCCTCCTCCTCCTCCGCCTCGGCCTGCCGGCGACGCCCCAACACGACTGCCCGCGTCAAGCAGCGGCTGCAAGCCAAGTACAACGCCAGCAACGCGCCTCCTCGTTCCCCTCAGACCTAACTCCACCTTCCGTGCAGAGAGGCCTCGAGTCCCAGCTCACTCCTCCTCTCGTCTTCGCCATCGGTCGACCGCCCGCCCTCTCTATCTTTCCTCTTCTGCTGCCGCGCCGGCTACCTCTCCCTCTCGCGATCTGCCTCCTGCTGCTTCGGCCGTGCCGCCGCCAAAAGATCCGATCTTGCGGGCCGCCTCCAAAGCGGCGCCGGCGCGTCAATGCGTCGTACGGCTTGCTTCGCTGCCGCTAAGAGTCACCCGCTTCTTCGACAAGGCCACCGTCCCTCGGCAACGGCGGGACACTGCAGCAAATGCGCACCAAGCCGAGCAGTTCCCCCAATTTCAAAACCCTAGCTGATGGTTTGACGAGGGATTTGAGTGTTGTTACGAGCAAAGTTGAGGGTTTTTTCGCGGCGGCGGAGAGGGGAGGGGTTTATGCGGTGGCGCAGTGCGCGAGGACGGTGAGCGAGAGCGGCTGTGCGGATTGCTTGGCGGTGGCGTATGCTAATGTGAACGGGTGCCCCCCGGATTCCGATGGGAGAGCTTATGATGCTGGGTGTTTCATGAGGTATTCTAGTGCCGACTTTTTCGGCAAGTATCAGACTGTGGATCTTGAGGCTCTCTTGGCATCACTAGGTACAACAAATCATCAGAATTGTATATGTTAGATCTAATAAGAAACTTGAGATCTAAAACCATAAAGCCATGATTAATTCGAAGAGATTAACAAGAATCAAAAGAGCGGAAGCTTATACCTGAATCCATAGATAAAACTTGAGATGAGTTTTGGATCTTCTAACCTTAGGGTTTCTCTAGCCGAATTTTCTCTCTAGATGGGGGTGAAGAGAATTAGAGAATGTAACCCTAGATTAAGGACTATAACCCCTTATTTATAGATATTGTACATTTACAATTTGGCCCTCATCAAATCACAATTATAACCTGGTATCTGCATATATAACCCCATGACTTATTTAAATACCCATTAACCCAAATTAATTGATCACTTTAGTGGGTTATCCTGAAGGATAACAATACACATTGATTAATCATATGTACCCACAAATAGATTTATTAGATTAAATCCAACAATCTTTCACTTGGGCACCATATGATTCCTTAAATTGTGTATAACCTTATGAGCTCAAAAACTACTATCACTGAAAAGGTATTTCCGAACAATCTCGTCCATTGACTATATCAATATAGGATCAAAGCGGTCTTCGTCACATTTATCGTGACTCGACCCATCAATGGTCACATATACCAATACAATCAAACGACATAGATCAATCATGGATGTGCAGCATGAAAATTACATGCAATGTGATCAATACATGTCTATTTTTAACTGGTCCTCCTTTAGTGAGGTCAAAACCAAACATAATATAACAGAGTATCTTAACTGAATACTTTATTCTGATCAGATAATACAACCAAACATAAAGCATCACAATTACAAACTCCCACTAAATCATGATATCCTCAAATAATACCACACCCATATGAGCAGTATGTTCATGAAAGACCCTGGGTGGCAATCCCTTAGTAAGAGGATCAAGCTATCATGGAGTTTGTCACAATGTGCTATATAGATTTTTGTCCACTCTGTACCCTTTCTTTCACAACCAGGAACTTAATGTCAATATGTTTTGACTTAGTTGAGCTCCTGTTGTTATTGGAATACATTACTGCAGATTTATTGTCACAATATAACCTTAGTGGTCTTTCCATATTTTTCAGAATACGCAGTTCCGTGACAAAATTTCGTAGCCATATTCCCTGATTGGATGCCTCATAGTAAGCTACAAATTCTGTTGTCATAGTGGAGGAAGCTACAAGTGTTTGTTTGACATTTTTTCATGATATAGCTCTTCCTGCTAACATATAAATGTAGTCTGATGTAGATTTTCTGCTATCTTGGCATCCAGCAAAATCAGAATCAGAGTACCCAATGATCTCCAGCTGTTCTGATTTTCTGTATGTGAGCATATAATCTTTTATTTTCTGAAGATACCTCATAACCCTTTTGACTGCTATCCAATGATCCATACCAGGATTGCTTAAGTATCTGCCTAACATCCCAACAATGTACGCAATATCCGGACGCGTACATACCTGAGCATACATTAGACTTCTTACAGCCGAAGCATAAGAAATCTTCTGTATTTTCTGAATTTTAAGGTTACCTTTAGGACATTGATTGAGACTAAACTTGTCTCCTTTAGCCACAGGGGTGTCTTCTGATCTGCAGTCTTGCATGCCAAATCTTTTAAGTACCTTATCGATATAGCTCTTTTGTGATAATCTAAGAACACCCCGAGAGCGATCTCGATGTATTTGGATTCCTAATATAAAAGAGGCGTCTCCAAGATCTTTCATCTCAAAATTTTTTGATAGAAATCTCTTGGTTTCGTGCAACATGTCTATATCATTAGTGACAAGCAATATATCATCGACATACAGAACCAGAAAGATATACTTACTCTTACTGAACTTGTGATATACACAGTCATCAACAATGTTCATCTCAAAACCGAACGAGATAATTATTTGTTAAAACTTATGATATCATTGACGAGGAGCTTGCTTGAGTCCATAGATGGATTTCTTTAAATTTGCAGACCATATTCTTTGGGTCTCCTAACACAAAGTTTTCTGGTTGTACCATATAAATCATCTCATCAATGTCTTCATTGAGAAATGCAGCCTTAACATCTATCTGATGTAACTCAAGATCATAATGAGCAACAAGTGCCATGATTGTTCTGAAAGAGTCTTTCAATGAAACCGGAGAGAAAGTCTCTGTATAATCAATGCCTTCCTTTTGAGTATAGCCTTTAGCTACAAGACGTGCCTTATACCTCTCCACATTGCCATTTGTATCCCGTTTGGTTTTAAAAATCCATTTACAACCAATTGGTTTTGCACCTTCTGGTAATGGGACAAGTACCCAAACCTTATTGTCTTGCATAGATTTGTACTCTTCATTCATGGCATCAATCCACTGTTGAGAGTTAAAACTTTTCATGGCCTGAGAGAAGTTGATTGGATCATCTTCCAACATTCCACTACTTTCCTTATGTTCTTGAAGAAATACAATATAATCATCCGAAATAACATTTCTCCTTTCTCTCGTGGATCTCCTTAATGGCACTGGTTCTTGAGGTTGTTGAGTTTGTTCTTCTGGAACAGGGAGTTGTTCAACATTATCATCTTGAGGTTCCAGATTTACTTCTTGAGCAACAACAGGTATAGGAACCTGAATATTGTCAAAAGTAACTATATGGATTGGATCTGAAGCCAATTCTTCCTCAAAACTAATGTCTCTAACCTTATTTCTCCCCCAAACTCAACATCCTCAAAGAATGTTGCTGTTCTCGTCTCAAAAATATTCCTTAGTGTGGGATCATAAAACTTATAGCCCCTAGAGCGTTCAGAGTACCCAATAAAGTAGCTGCTAACTGTTTTGGAGTCCAATTTCTTTTCATTTGGCCTGTAAGACCTTGCCTCAGCTGGACATCTCCAAATATGTAAATGCTTTAAACTGAGCTTTCGATCAATTCAAAGCTCATAAGGTGTTTTAGCAACTGCTTTACTTGGTACTCCGTTCAGAATGTAAGCTGCTGTCTTAAGTGCTTCTCCTCAGAGTGACTCTGGTAAAGAAGAATGAGCAATTGCTTCTCCTCAGAGTGACTCTGGTAAAGAAGAATGAGCAATCATACTTCTTACCATATCCTTAAGAGTCATGTTTCGTTCATACTTCTTACCATATCCTTAAGAGTCATGTTTCGTCTTTCAGCTACACCATTCATGCTAGGTGAACCCGACAAGGTGTACTGTGGGACGATACCGTATTCCTCTAGGTATCTAGCAAATGGTCCTGAACATTGTTCACCTGAACCATCATATCTGCCGTAGTACTCACCACCACGATCAGATCTAACGGTTTTAATTCTTCTGTTGAGTTGATTCTCAACTTCAGCTTTATAGGCTTTGAACATGTCCAGAGACTCAGATTTTTCATGAATGAGATATATGTACTCATAACGTGAGTAATCGTCTATGAATGATATAAAATATTATTGACCATTTCAGGATTCCGTAGGGAATGGCCCACAAATATCCGTATATATCAATTCTAAGACATCCGAAGATCTGTTGGCACCTAATCTCTTAACTTTGGTCTGTTTCCCCTTGATACATTCAACACATACGTCGAAGTCTGAAAAATCAAGGGAATCCAAAATGTCATCAGACACAAGACGCTCAACTCTACCTTTTGAGATATGACCTAAGCGCTTATGCCATAATGTCGCCGAATTTTTCTTATTTAATTTACACTTAGTACCACGTGATTCCACATGTAAGGATTCATTATAAGAAGCAATTGTATCAAGCAAATATAGGTTGTCATAAGTACTCAAGTAACCGGTTCCCACAACATTTGAATTAAAAGATAAACTGAATTGACTGTTTCCAAATGAACAAGAATAACTTGATTTGTCCAATACAGAAACAAAAATTAAATTCCGTCTAAAAGATAGTACTACAAAAGTATCTTTTAAATCCAAATAAGAACCAGTTTCTAACAACAACCTAAAGTGTCCAATTGCTTCCACATCTACCGATTGTCCGTCGTCCACAAAAATGTGTCTTTCAACATCACTTGGCTTTCGGTAGCTCAGGCAATCTTGCATAGAAACACTTATGTGAGTAGTAGCACCAGAGTCTAACCACCAAGTGTTTCTAGGTACTGAAGCTAAATTAACCTCAGAACAGATCAAAGTAAGGAACATACCCTTATTAGCACGTCAAGCGTGATATTTTGTACAATCCTTCTTTACGTGTTCAGGCTTGTTACAGAAGAAACAACCCTGATTATCCTTATGTTGTTTCTTCTGAACTGGACCCTTAGCAGCTTCATTATCATTCTTTCTTTTCTTGTCCTTATTCTTAGAGGCATAGGTCAAATGAGCACTTTCTGTCTTATCTTGCTTTAAGCTGTCTTTTTCTTGCACACAGTATGAAATGAGCTCATTTAGAGTCCATTTCTCCTTTTGGCAGTTATAACTGACCTTAAACTGATTGAATTGTGCAGGAAGAGACAACAAAACCAGATGCACCAATAAAAGATCGAGTTTAAGTGCCTTAAGCTTTGAAGCAATATGAGACATTTCCATAATGTACTCCCTGATATTTCCTTTGCCCTTATACTTCATTGAAATCAAGCGAGCTAAGAGCGTGCTTGTTTCTACCTTATCGTTTTTCGTAAAACACTTTTTAATTTCGTCAAGGAAATCTTTAGCCTTAGTAATCCTTTCGGATTCTATGCCCCTGAAGGCTTCAGGAACGCCGCGCTTAATGATCATAAGACTCATGAGATTTGAACGCTCCTACTTCTCATACTTCTTCTTTGCTTCAGGAGTGCTATCCGCATTGAGAGGTTGGGATTGTTCAGTTCTTAATGCATAGTCAAGATCCATGCAGCCAAGAACAATTAATATGTTCTCTTTCCAAACCTTGAAATTTGTCCCATTTAGCATGGGAATTGAGTTGATGTTAGCAGAAATTGTGGCAGCAGATGCATTAGCTGAAATAAAACAAAAATGCTCACATCAATAACCATAATTATTAATCAACAAATAATGACAATCCCCATCCAAGATACCGGCACAACATTAATATCAAGTCTTTGGACAGTAATATTAACTTGTAAGTGATACCTTGTTGCAATGATCAAACATTGACAATAACTCATGTCAAATAATGAAACTATCTTTGGATCGATTCATTATTCACATGTAAAGCTTATAATTGTCACACGCTTATCATCGCAGATGTGTATACAGTCTAAATAAATATTAACCTTCCTTTGGGCCGATTAAATATTTACACGAAAGCATACACACAAACATCTCACATTCCTCATGAACAATCTACACAAGAGAGGTTATTTTGGCAACTTCATATTTCAATTAATCAATTAGAGTGAGAGACAACCTTAATATCTTAGTGTCATAATATTTGAATTAAATAATTGATTAAAAAACCAAATTAGATTTAAATTAAAAGGTTTTAATTTAAATCAACTGAATTTCTAAAAAACTTAATTGGGGTCTCATAGCTTAATTAGGGCTTATAACTTAATAAATTAAGTATACCAAAGTGGACCCATGAAAAGCTGAGGCTTAACCATAGTGAACACGAAGTTCGCTTGACTTCGAACACAAGGTTCGACTGTATTGAGTACAAGACTCACTTAAGCACGAACGCGAGGTTCTTCTGAAAATGAACGCAGGGTTCAACTTGAGAACGAACGCGAGGTTCGTTAAAAAATGAACACAGAACAAATGCAAGGTTCGTTTGAAAAATGAACGCGAGGTTCGACTTGAGTTGAGCGCGAGGCTCACCTAATAACTGAGCACGAGACTCAACTTGAATTGAGCGCGAGGCTCAACTTAAATTGAGCGCGAGGCTCACCTGAGAACTGAGCGCGATGCTCACCTGAGAACTGAGCGCGAGGCTCAACTTGAATTGAGCGCGAGGCTCACCTAAGAACGAACGCTAAGTTCGTTTGAATTGAGCGCGAGACTCAACCTGAGAACGAACGTGAAGTTCGTTTAAATTGAGCGCGATGCTCACCTTAGAACGAACGCGAAGTTCGTATAAATTTGAGCGCGAGGCTCACCTTAGAACGAACGCGAAATTCGTTTGAAGCTTTCAGCTTCGTCAAAATTTAAGGTAATCACCTCCTTAATTCCCGCACGTTTTCACGCACTAACCCTTAGGGTTTCAATCTGAAACCGCCACCATTATTTCAAAATCAGATCCAGAATCGAAAAAAATAAGTTTTCTTGATCCAGATCCAAGAAAAAATCGAAGAAAAATCCAAAAATTAAAAAACTTTACTATGTTACTGTTCATCCAGAAATTTTTCCGTTACTGTTCATCCGAGAACAGATCTTAATCAAAAAAATAAGAGATTTAAGATAAAAAAAACCCAATTTTAAAACTTAAATCCCTAAGAATTAATCAAAGGTGGCTCTGATACCACTTGTTAGATCTAATAAGAAACTTGAGATCTAAAACCATAAAACCATGATTAATTCGAAGAGATTAACAAGAATCAAAAGAGCGCAAGCTTATACCTAAATCCATAGATGAAACTTGAGATGAGTTTTGGATCTTCTAACCTTAGGGTTTCTCTAGCCGAATTTTCTCTCTAGATAGAGGTGAAGAGAATTAGAGAATGTAACCCTAGATTAGGGACCATAACCCCTTATTTATAGATGTTGTACATTTGTAATTTGGCTCCTCATCAAATCACAATTACAACCTGGTATCTGCACATATAACCCCATGACTTATTTAAATACTCATTAACCCAAATTAATTGATCACTTTAGTGGGTTATTCTGAAGGATAGCAATACACATTGATTAATCATATGTGCCCACAAATAGATTTATTAGATTAAATCCAACAATATACACCGTAAAGAACATAGTTGGAAGCAATTAAAAAGCATATGGTAATTGTTAGCTTAGTTGAGGAGATGTTGTAGCCACTTATACCCCTAATTTGTTGTTAAAACACTTTTACGCCTTGAATTTTAGACGATGTTACCTTTGACTCTAAATTTGCTTTTTTTAACATGACTTAGGAAGCAATGTCGTCTGAAGCTGAAGGAATGTAAGTATTACTAATATAGTTCAGGGGTATAACTGACACTCTGGTAGTATGGAGGATGTGTATAAAATTAAGCCATTTTTTTAATATTGGGCTAATAATTTGTGTCATGCATTAAGTAAATATGGTACTTAATATTGCGTGAATTGTATGTGAACTTGGATTAGGGGGGTCAAGTAGCAAAGGGGCTATCATTGGAGGAGTTGCTGGAGGAGTTGGTGGTCTTTTGCTTCTTGCTCTTGTGCTGTTTCTATGGAGAAGGAAGCACAGAAAGCTGAATCCAGATCGGAGAGGTAAAGAATCCATGCCTTTCTCTTCCTTTTTTTTTCTTCCCTTTTTTTTCATTTGACACACAGTTAGTTGCATTTTGAGATTCTCTACAATTTATTTTAGGGGAAGTGGCCTAGTGGGTAGGTTTATCAAATGTGCTTTGACTTGCTAGAATGAAGTAGACTAGCATGTAAATTAAATCTGGGTTTGACATGATTAATTGTATATTATGATTCTTAGATGCCTAAGAATTGGTCTTTAGTAATATTGAAGTTGCATGACATACTAATGCCCTATGATGAGGGCTGAATAGATTTATACGGTATTAGTTTCAGTAGCCGACTCGAATATTATAACTGTTTCATTGGTTGACAAATGGGTAAATAAAATAATAAAGAGAGGTGAAGACAAGTACATTTTAATCTTTGAAGAACTGGTCGAGTTTATATTTATACAGCTATTTTATGAGGTCCAGTATTTACTGCCATTTTACTTTCAATTTATCAGGAGAAGTTGAGATATTAGTAAATCGTTTTGGATAAGCAATTTGGTCTTTTTTAATGTTTTATGAACATAAAAATATACACTGTTCGTTTCTGGTGAAGTGTTTGTTGTACTCGTATATAAAACATAAAACATTCTGACTTGGTACCTTCTGTTTGTTTCAGATTCTGATTTTCGTTAGGCTATTGTTTGGCTTATTTAGAGAGAACTTTTTTTATGTTGATGTTTATTCTAGAGGAGGGTAGTAGACTCTTCAAATTTACTTATTTTGCACAAGAACAAGGAGATTAATTCAGCATGACAGAGCCCAAAGTGCAGTAAGATGCATAAAAACAACTTCACAGAATCATATTGTTGCCTTACTGTCTTTAATATAGGTCTACATTAACATGGGAGTATTGACAACTCAAAGTACGAAATCTGAAATATGTGGTTAGACAATGTCAAAGTCAAAGTGGAACCGTCCTATATTTTGGCAAACCAAACCACAAGTAGGTTGGTGAGGAAAGTGATGCTATTTTAAAACTTCATGCATTTACCAAAAAGAAAAAAGAAATAAAAAAGAATGGAGTTAAAAGGAAGAAATGCTATTATATATGTCTCTACCACAACTTGAGCGATCAAAAGTTGCAGGAGCAATGGTTAGGTGCAGTATCTCTATGCCTAAACCCCACAAACGATAAGTGCATGACTAAATAGACATTCATCATGCTACAAGTATAACAAATTAAGAGATGCACTTGTAGACCGAGCACAGCCAATCTTAGACGAAAGTGTGAACGTGGCCAGCATCAATTACTTTTGGAGTGTGACTCTTATGTTTAAATTTCTCATTGTAATCTTCATTGTCATCTACATATCCATTGGTTAACCACATCATTTAATTATTTGCACAGGTAATATATTGGGGGCGACAGAATTGCGAGGGCCCATGAACTTCCGTTACAAGGATCTTAAATCTGCAACTAAGAATTTTAGTGATGAAACTAAACTGGGAGAAGGAGGTTTTGGTGATGTATACAAGGTACCACGATGGGTCAACTATAGTTTTCAACCTGGATGTTTATATCATTTTTTTAGCGGCTTTTGGTAGGATGCTTATATCAGGTTAATTTATATAAAAGAATTGGAAGGAAATATTTCTTTCTGGCTTTCAGATTTGGCCCTTCAAGAGCTACTTCACTTTTTCGCAGGGTGTATTGAAAAATGGTAACGTTGTTGCTGTCAAGAAATTGGCAATAGCTCAAGCCAGCAGAGCTAAGGCAGATTTTCAGAGCGAAGTAAGGCTTATAAGCAATGTTCACCATCGAAACCTTGTTCGGCTGCTCGGATGTTCTAGCAGAGGGGCTGATTTGCTGCTTGTCTATGAGTACATGGCAAATAGCAGCCTTGACAAGTTCTTATTTGGTAGTCATTTTCGATTTGTGCAAAACAAATTATAGATCATTTGTCTTTAACATTTTATTTTTTGAGTTCAGATGAAAATATTTTCCATGTTAATGTGAAGGGAAAATTTTACAAAACTACCATGATTTTATGATGGTTTAGTCTTGCAATCATAAACTTTATACACATAAATTATATGTAGCTTATACTTCATATGCACTCTCATGATTACTTTACTTATCCTCAAGTAACATATTATCTTTTAGTGCATAATTTATGCCAACGCTGCCTCGATTTGTGAAGAAATATCAACCATTTTGCTGCATGTGTTAATTAGAATATGAGAGGATTTTGACTTAATAAGTCAATTAACAATATTTGTCTTTCGGAAGGGCTGTATCAGGTATATATCATTCATCTTAAGATGTGCAACTAATAAGAACTTTCCAACTCAGGGAGAATCATAAAGCCCATAACTGCTGCCAATCCTCCTAGTTCCGCCCTTGGTTGAACTGATAAGAAAGCATCCTGGATCATATTGGTTGATTTGGCTGTTAAGCCTTCTCTTATCATGTGCTGGGGTGGCAAAGGGGTTACATTGAGTCAACTTTGTTGGAAGTCTCTGAATCCAATTAATTCTTGATACTCACACAATTTGATTATTATGGATCAAGCTCTTTGACACATCACCACCAAAGTTAATCTTAGGAGAACTATCTAGATCGTAACCTATTCTTATTTCCTTCCCCACCATGCCATACAAAAAACAGGCATTAACTTTGAATTATTGAGATCCCAAAATCCAAATTAACTTACAAAAGTCACTCAAACAAAAGACTAGAAAAAAATGTAAATTGCACAAAAATCAATTTAAAACAATTATTAAGTCAGAGATCTTTTGTTTTCTTTTTTAGAAAATATTACATAATGCGCCTAGATAACATAATCTAGGTTGCACTAATCTGGGGTTCATTAGAGAGATCTAAATCATGTTGCGTCACAAGAATGACCTTTAGAAATTGCGCATGTTTTTTAATTTTCTGAGAAAGAAAAAGGTTGTCAACAGACGGTGGGAAAAAACTATTCATGGATGGATTTCTAAGGGAGTTTAAAAAGGGTCAAGCTTGGTTTAGTGACTTTAGTCTCCAGACTTTGTTAATATAAAATTAGCATGGAAATCTTGAACGGGTAAAATAGCTCAAAAGTTTATGCCCTAACCTTACCTGGTTATTAATCAGCAAAGCTTGGTTGACACGTTATCCGAGATCATGTGAAGCAGTAATAGAACACCTAAGCTCTGTTACAACTCGAGTAGTCTTCCCCATCTAAGTGGCAGGGTGATGCCTGCCTTTTCCAGTGCATATTGTGTGTTTGATGATTGCAATATACCATTTTTTACGCCCTAAGCAGAGTGTTAAGGATGACATGCATCCTACTAATGCTTCTACCCAAGCAAGCTTAACTACAAAATTTTCAATGGTGTTCCTCCCTCAGAAGATGTTAGCTAAGCGTAATTGTTGAATTCATGGGCTTTCTAGGCATATCCTGCAAAATCATGAGTTTTTGCCCTTGGTATGACAGATGAAGAGCTTAATTCAATTGTTGTCATTTGTATAACCTGTCACTCCCACTAAATTGTGAATTAGATAATTTCCTATCTTGTGTTACAAATTTCCTTTTATTTTACCCTTTCCTTGCTTCTTATATATAAAATGCTACCACCTATTTGACAGGTGAGCGACGTGGGCGGCTCAGCTGGAAACAAAGATTTGATGTAATTGTTGGCACGGCGAGGGGACTTGCATATCTCCATCAGGAGTTCCATGTCTGCGTCATTCATCGTGATATAAAATCTAGCAATATATTGCTTGATGATGATTTTCAGCCCAAAATTGCTGATTTTGGGCTGGCAAGGCTTCTTCCTGGCGACCAAAGTCATCTAAGCACCAAATTTGCTGGCACCCTGTATGCTGACAATTTAATATTTACGTGTTTAGTCATTCATATAAATGTCTTGTTGATGTGCATCCTTTTGTTTGTCGTAGCTTTTTTGTTAGAATTCCATATGATAATTTTTCTCAGATTTTGATTTATCGCATCCTCTGACAGGGGTTATACAGCACCTGAGTATGCTTTACATGGCCAGCTATCCGAGAAGGTGGATACATATGGCTATGGAGTTGTTCTTTTGGAAATAATTAGTGGAAGAAAAGCCAATGACACAAAGCTGGAACCTGAAACTCAGTACCTTCTTGAATGGGTATTCTCTCACTATTGTACACTAGTTAGTAGTTGCATTAACTGTGTTAAAAACCTTAATATCTAACTCATTCATTCATAACCATGTCACCTGTTGGTTTTGGTGAACCAAACTGAACCATATGGTTTGAACAAATGAAATTTTGATTAACCTAGAACTTTGTCATGACTTTTGATAAACGCTACTAAACCAATGTGAAGCAGTTATGGACTTGTGGATGTCTCTCACATACAACTGTGAATGGTTGAACCATAAAAAACTGAATTGCCTGTTTTCTGTTTCAGTTCTGACAGCATTCTATAAACATGTAGAAGAAAAAAAGTTATGGCTTTGTAATCTTCAACGAGGATTCAAGCACCTTTAAATTATTACCTAGCCTTGGTTGTGATTGGTGGTTTCATGGTATGGGCCATATTAGCAGAGTACTTACAGCGTATGTGATAGATGGGCTTACGTCAATTAGGTCGAGGTGTCAACCGCCTCAGAGTGCCCCCCCCCCGGGAAGTTCGTTTGCCATTGAACCTATGATTTATTAGCAAAATTATTAGAAGCTTTGCACTGGCATATATTTTTCTAAGCATAAGGCATCTACTATTGTGGAACTGGTTTAGTTGTTGGTCATCAGACTGATAGAAAATGCTATAGCTTGCTCTGGACATAAATATGAAATTTCTTCTGTTGACTAGTTTCTCTTTCCTAAATGCTTCTGTCATCGATGTGAACATTTGAAACCTTTTCTATATAATAACTCTTACATAGATCCGAACATGTGAAATCTTTCCTCTTCATGCCCTTTCTTTATAATCAACCAACTATGCCACATAAGAAGCTTTGGCTCTGCTTTTTGTTGCTTGGGCAAAAACCATTATTGGCTTTAAATGCGATAGATAATTATAGTTGGCAGGTTAACACGTCAACTGAAACTTCTTTAGTAGTTTGATAGATATCCTTTGTTCCATTTTGGTTTTAGACAGCTAACTAACTGGCCATTTAAGATGTAAATAATACTACACTAATAACTCATTGTGACTTAAATTTTGTTAATGTTCCTTTGTTGGTTGAACAGGCATGGAAATTATACGAAAATGGTGAATTGATGGGATTACTGGACGAAACCTTGGAGCATGATGAATATAATCCAGATGAAGTGAAGAGAGTGATTGAAATAGCTCTACTCTGCACTCAGTCGTTAGTGGCTGCAAGACCAACCATGTCTGAAGTGGTAATGATGCTCCTGACTAGAGTTGGGCCGGTTGTCCAGCCCACAAGGCCCACCTTCATAGATGCCGCAAACAGGGTTCGTGGTGATACATCCACTTCCACAGGTTCATCTTCCGCATCCAATGCAACTATTTCAATTACACAGTTTTCAGCAAGGTGAATATTATCATGAAATTTAGCTATCTGGTTATACATACTCAAGAGTAGAGATATATGTTGCTTGCTGTGGTGAATAAGAGTGTATATATAGAGAATTAGGGGGATGGTGTGTGCACCCACAGAGTCGCAAATGTATTAATTAGAGAATTTGCTGATTGATAAGACAGTTTACAGTGTATCACATACATTATCTCTCCATGATGAATGTTTCGATCCAATGAGGCAGATGGTTTTTCTGCTGAAGTTAGTTATATACTGGAGAAGTGACCGCTATTTGGTCTGTAGTTTATCAAAATGGTTTGTGAACTGGTGGTAGCTTGAATTTGGAACTGACAAGTGTTGCATGCAGAAATCAGCTCAACGTTTTCATTAGATGGTCATTATGTTGGAATATAGCTACAAAATGTTAGTAGACGACAGGGTCTGGCATTGAGGATGTTTGAGACTGTTTTTGGAGATGTATGCTTATGACTTTTGTTGTGAGCAATGTGTCCTGAGAAGATGATACTTGGTCAGGAACAACGAATCTCTTTATTTATGATAAACAGATTCATTTTGCAAGTTCGTTACTAAGGGTAGTTCCTACAAAGGATTGGGGAAGTTCATTATTATGGGTAGTTCCTACAAAGTATTGGGCTAATGACGTATACAATACGGCATTATTGGTTCTTTAAAAGACAAAATTCAGTAGAGACTACTCAGAATAGAATGAATAACAGATTCTACTGTTAAGTAACAAGTAATTGTAATGTAAATCATAACCACAACCTTAATCAGGTCAGAATTGCTAAAAGAAAAGCTTTCTTTCTAGGTGGATCTAGTTGTTTCGTGGATAGTATTACAGAGGGGGTAGGGTAGTTACATGAAGAGTTTTAATTCAGACACCACTGCTGACCATAAAAATTCAATGAATAGACAATACTGCATGCTAGTTAAGCTTTGAAAATATATTGTCGATATCAATGCAGTTGGCATGTGATGCCACTTGTGATTTTTAGGGGAAATCATGACACTTGAGAGCAGAGGCTGGCGGTCTCTTTTTCTTTGCTATCATCCAATGTTACCTGGGTACTTCTCTCATGAAGCTCTACCTGTACAGGACACATGCGCATACCGAAACTTCATGGACACTCGTTGAATATATGCATACATTTTATTCAAGCATGTACAGAATTATATGACATTCTTTTTAATTTAAAACACTTGTTATACACTTCTTAGGCATATATCTTGTATTCAATGTTCATTTATTGAAACTAGTTAGACATGAGTCGGGTTTGTTTCAAATTATGAGCGTCTAGTTAAAAAAACTAGCAGTTGGCATATTATAATAATCAACATTAAAAAAAACTTTAAAATGTGATAGGAATTTTGATTCTAATAACTCATGAATTGGAAAAATAATCTCATGTAAAATTAATTTCAATATATTTACGTAGTCGTGTTCCTGTATCCAACATTTTATAAATTTGTCGTGTCCCCGCCCGTATCAGTACCCCTTTCCGTTTCCATGCAACATAGCTATTGTCTAATTAATATATCCTTGAAGTTCTAACAGACTTTAAAATAAATTGCTACATTATGTTTGCCGTGTGTTTTGTGTTTGGGGGAGATTGTATACAGACATGACGATTTGCAGTTCCAACTCCTACCCTCGAACACAAAAATTCTACAATATACACGCAGTCAGGATGTGACGACTTGTCGCAAATTTTAGGGGAGATCATGCCGTTTGCGAGCACAGGTTTATGGTTACTTTTTTGCCTTTTCCATGATCTAAAATGTTTCATCAAAGTTCTAATAAACTTCGAAGTAAAGTGCTACTTTACACTTGGAGTGCCTTCACGCTTGTGCTTGAAAGCTGTATAATTGAAGAGATCTGTTCAAGATTGTACGGCTTGTACACAAGTCTACATCTAATAAAATTTGGACCTGCAAGGAATTACAGGCATATGTTTGCAGCCATCTGCTGATAACTGGCTTTCTTAGAATTCATGAGGTCAATGAGATAGCTTCTTAGCAATCCCGTTATTAGATCCTATGAGATTTGGTCTTCAAAACCTGTGGCTTATTCAACAAAGTCATGTTTCAGAAGATCCACGGACATCACCAAAAGATTGAGGATGCATTTAGGGATAGGTACCTATTCAACAAGTAGTTAGTCAAGTAGAATAATCAACGAGAGATGCATGATACTGAATCCTTGGCAAGATTTCCTCAAGATCTTCAAACAAATACAGACGCTATCTGATGACTATTAAATTTTGGAGGGAACAAATATCATATCCAGGTCAAGCTTTCAAGAGATATTGGATACCGATGTTTTCATAAGATATTGGATAGCATATAGGGTTGAGTTCAGTATTAGTAATCCAAGAGATACGACATGTTTGCCAAAGTGCCTGAAGACACGACGAAGTAATGCAATCTTTGAAGGAGGGCCTTCGGCCTCTTCAAGACCTTCAGCGTAATAAACAACATCTTGCAACCTCAAAGGAACATTTTATAATTTTTTAAGAGCTTGAAAATATAAGGATGACTAAAAAAAATCTTGTTTTAAATTAAAGAGGCCAACTTCTGTAGTCCACTGTAGCATGACTTGAATAAGAAAAACCGAAGAGTTCAATAGGAAGATTTGCTGAAGGGTGCATGTGTTCAAAAGCACGAGGTCAATTGAACAACCATACCAGCCCAGGTTTAGGTTCTTTGGGGTTTGGTCAGGATTTGTGGGTAATTAGCAATAAAACTGGGATTTGATGACCAAAACAGTTTGAGTACGTGTACTCATTTTGTCAACCGGAGCAGAAGATCTGATTGAAAAATAAGATCCAAGTTAGATACAAAAACACCTACTGCATGATTTTTTTATAATGTTAAGGTGCCATCACATTGGGCATGGTATTATTTGAACTAATAAGGCGGTAATCTACCCTCTCTCCATGTAGAGGACAATCTATCGACGATATGGCTTTGAATTTTCACCACTTCTATCTCAAGCAAGTGCCTTGTTGTTTTCTGTTTCATCGTTTTATCAGTACACTATATACAAGATAGAGCTTCTGAATTTGTATGTCAGTATATATGGTGTATATTTATGCTGCCAATTAGAACTTCAACTCTTTTCGAGAAATTTACGATGTAAGTTATATCATGAAGAGAATAATATGTCCCGAAGATCAACTTCCGAGGTTGATTCATGAGTGTCATCGGGTGATTGTTTCATCAACCACCGGAACCTAGTTGAGGTGAAGAAGATTGATAGCCGACTTTTCATAACAATAATGCTGGCATTACTTCCCCCGTTATTTTGGCTGATGTACACTGTGGCATTATTAAAAATTTAAAACTATAAAGCGCTTTCTAATCCAATTCGTTGGGTCATCTTCTTCTTGACAAAAGACCCTTGTGTATATCCCTAATTGATGATAAGATACGCTCGCAAAACTCTGCAGATTCGGCTATTCTATAATTCTAGAATAAAAACTATTTCTTTGTATATCCTTTGACAAAAGATGACGTAGATACAAGTTATTCTATAAGCAGGAAACAAATGTAGTGATCAACTAGCTAAACAGTTACGCAGTTGTTTTCTTCATGTGAAGTATGGAAGGATAATCTTGATACGGACTTGTCACCTAATCTGATTCCAAATCTCATTTTTTTAGCATTATGTGAAGTTTTCAATTAGCATTTGTTCCGGATTGTAATTATCTTAAGAAAAATATTTAGAACTGATGCTCTATACGCCAAATTCGTTTAATTGAAAAATATGGTTGAGCAAATATTATGTATCGTACGTGATGTGCCCGTGCAACATAAATTGATTATGTCATCACAGTTATATTGTGATTCTGTGAAAATACTGCAATGTTGGAATGAGGTTAGGTTTGACTTTGAACAGTCATGAAAACTTATGTCAGTCTACTTTTACTATCAGCCATTATCAGCAAAAATTTTGTACCAAATCACGATCAGCTAATTTAAGTTTGGAGTCTTAAGAAAGCTAGACTAGAGGATTAATTCAAAAAAAAAAAAAATTACAGTGTCAACCATGACAGCGATCCTAAATTTGAAAATAGGAATTAAGCTATGGTGTGTATCATGATTATTTGTATTTGTTGTCATTTCAAGTCATGAAAGGCCAGTTAGGACACAAACGAGCCATAGTTTCAACAAATTGCACTTTGAAAAGTATTTGGCGGTGGCTACCAATCTAGCTAGAAATTGTGAAATCGCCCAATGAAAGATACTGAGGATTTTGTTGGTGTACTGAATCAAGCACAAAACATGTTCACATACGCTTGGGCGATTTGAAGTTTGAACAAGTCACTAGCAGAGCAAGGAAATCACACTTTCTAGAACATTACTTGGTGAAAAGATTAGCAAGGCAAACAAACAATGGGAAACTGCAAACCTTTCCTTCTCTCAAATGTTTTAAATGCATATATCTTTATTATTGACTAGGTTCTTCCAGATCTTAGTGAGAAAATAGGTACATATTTGCCTTCTGCAGTTGCTCCCACCATGTGCAAGCTAAGACAAATATGCCAGACAAAATTAATGTACATGGTCTGATACAGGTTTACGCCCACATCAAATAATAGCTATTATTGGATAGAGTTTAAACCCTTGGGAGACAGAACCATTAAGGGAAAATTTGCAAAATAGACCATTTTTATGAAATATATAGCGAAATAGACCACTTTGTAAAATAATTAGCAAAATAGACCTCTTTTGAAAAAAAAGAGGTCGATTTTGAAAAACAAGGCTTAGAAAACATACGGGACTACTAGTCCCGTATGTTTAGAGCCAACTAATCACGGATTAGTGACTCAGAAAACATACGGGACTAGTAGTCCCGTATGTTTTCTGAGTAGAAAATTTCACTAATCCGTGATTAAAACATACGGGACTACTAGTCCCGTATGTTTTCTGAGCTGTTTTGCAAAATAGATCTCTTTTTGGTCTATTGGCCAAAAAGATGTCTATTTTGCTAATTATTTAGTAAAACGGTCTATTTTGCTAAATAATTAGCAAAAACGGTCTATTTTGCAATTTTTCCCAGCCATTAATGTATCTGACGGTTAGTTTGACTTTGGCCTATAAGTATTTTACATGTTTCTAACTGTTGCGTTCAAGTCTCACGTTTGTGAGATTGAAAGTATTTTACATGTTTCTAACTGTTGCGTTCAAGTCTCACGTTTGTGAGATTGAAAATGTCTTACATCTGCACATTTATGATTCTTTGAATGCATGTTTGAAGGGCCGAGGTAACGAAAATGAA